CCACCATCTCTGTCTTACTCGATCTGAAAGCGGCTTTCGACTCAGTCGACCGCTCTAAACTCTGGCGCTGCCTCTCCCTGAAGGATGTGCCCGAGAAGTTGATTTGAATATTGCAATCCCTCTATACTCATAGCCAAAGTCGAGTCCGAGCTTACGGCACATTTTCGCCCGAGTTCACCACGGAAAGTGGTGTTCGACAAGGTTGCCCTATCTCTCCTGTTCTATTTAATTTTGTCATATATTCGATTATGGAAATAGCCCTATCCTCGTGTGAGGATAGTGGCATCGATTTACTCTCAGATAGCAGACTGTCTGCTTTAGAGTATGCAGACGACATTGTGCTACTAACTGAAGATCGAGGTGAGTTGCAAGCTTTTCTGGATGGCTTGAATGCAAGCGTATCCCTCTTCGGTATTCGTTTTGCACCTTCAAAGTGTAAAATGTTACTGCAAGACTGGGTTGGTCCAGTACCCAGACTCACTCTAACTGGGGAAGTAATAGATCAAATGGATAAGTTATGTTATTTGGGCAGCTACATCTCACCCAGTGGACGCATTACGGATGAAATGTTAGCTCGCATATAGAACGCTCGGTCTGGCGGAGAAACCGAACACGCAATTCTGAGGTTAGGCGTAAAGTATTAGGTAACCGCGATCGTCCACTGGAGCCACTAGTTGACCTACATAGATTACGCTGGTTGGGGCATGCGTTATGCATGTCACCAGATAAGTCGCCATGGCGAGCGATGTTGACTGGCATTTGTCAACTTGAGACATCTGTGGCGTCGTCGCGACATTGGGTTGTGTGTGAAGTGTCGAGTGTAAGCTGCAGAAGTTTCGTCCGTTCTGCTCTGCTTTACAGAGGCTTGGCCAGTACGGGAAAAGGATAAAAATGGCGTTGTTTAAACACCACTCTCCACGTCGCACTGAACGAATCTGTACTGGTATCCAGACGAACAATGCTGAAGTTTGGTGTAGAGTTTCAGGTAATCGCGATCGTCCACTGGAGCAACTAGTCGAGCTCCATAGATTACGCTGGTTGGAGCATGTATTACGCATGCCACTAGACAGTTTGCCATGGCGGGGATGTTTTCCGAGATAGGCAGCGGATGGAAAACGTCAGGGGCAGTCAAACGAAGACCTGGCCGGAGGGTTTAAAAACCCCAACGAGGAGTCTGGGTCATATAGGTCCTGTTAGGCTTCCTGGATGGGGATCTCGGGATGATCGTAACCGATAGAGACACTGAGTGATATGGCTGGGTGTCGTAAACAGTGACGTTCGTGCATCTTCTCAAATTCTTCTCAGTTTTCTCTTCGATCCTACTTTCAACCTTCCTGTTTTACTCGTATTGTTCATCCAAACGGTCAGCCAAAAGAAAGCTACCAAAAGCGATGTACGGAGGTGCATGCCTAATGGTTGTTTCAAGTGAAACTGAAACTCAGTGCGAGAGCTGAAGCCACATCCCTAGATTGGATTCCAGTCGACAGTTGGTCATGTGCAGGTTCATGCAAAGTAAGCAGTTATCACTTCGAACACCGTCTTTTTCTCACCAGTAAGAACTTCAAACGATCCTCGGGTCAGAGACAAACGCAGATCGACCACATTGCTGCAAGCCGGTCCAATGTCACGCCTAACCCATCAGGGCCTTATGCGGTTCACCACTCCAAGTCCCGGGGCTTAGGTTGCCGGTTACCACCACCTCGTGACTAAGGGGTTCGCTCCGTTTACTGTTCGTCACACTTAGGTGTGTAATAAAAAATGGTGGGCTGCATTCAAGATCCTGTGAGCTCTGAATGGAGAATGCCATTCGAAAATAACTGTGATATAAGTATCGTCAATAGTCTTATCTCATGTTTTAACATACAGTGAAAGATTATAGTCAGCGAAACTTCGTATCTTCTATCGAAACTGATCGACTGATTATCACTGCTGTTGTTTGATAGCGACTAACATTTGACTTACAGAGATCTCGTTTTGGGGTTTAGTATAGATAGCCAGTCTTCCTCATCGTTTCTCCGTGGGTTGCTGAAAATGAAATTTGAATGGTGGTTTAGATTTCATCCTCTTGTTTCGAAGATCCTTTTCCAATTTTCTCCACATTTTCGTTCTTAATTTGCGCATCTTCTGAATCTAGCTGCCTTGGAAGAAGTTGTTTTTAATTTGTGGTATAAACGAGCGATGACATTGATAATGACACTGACATTTAGAGCACTACCAATGAAATTTTTACTGTGTTTTTAGTACAATTTCGTTAGGTATAATCGAGACCAGAGATCTTTCATTCTTTCATTCTAGATTACGTAGCTTGACTGATATAGTGAACAAAATAGGGTTGTGGAGAAACAAACCTGGATAGTTTTTTTTTCTGATTTCTGATGGTTCATAGTGCATCGCGAAGCGCCCTAAAGCTCGTAGTGCACGTATATCATCCATATTTGTCTATATATGGAGCTTGAGTATAAAACCGGACTTTTCACGGTATCACTAAACATCATTGTTTGGAATAGAAAAAAAGCTGTTTTTCCATTGAGATTGCATTTATTTTACGTCTCAGATTCCCACTTCGTTTGTTCCAGTTTCAGACATACTTTCATTATGACTATTCACTCGGAGCAACCCACACCCGAATCCGATGCCACACAAAATAGTGCGCCAAACGAGTGTCTACTCCAATGGTGCGCAGAAATTCACAACGAGCGGACTGCACTGCGCGAACGCCTTGTCGAAAAAGTTGGAGAACTTAAGCAATTGGTGAATGAGTTTGGGGTATGAATTTCTTCTGTAGTGATACAATACTTCGATACATTTATTCTACCTAGATAACATTGGATGAAACTGAATCGCGTTTGTGCGATTTGGATCCGGATGTTTCTTGGCAGAGAAAGTTAGATGCATCCGTTGAGAATCAGTTTACTAGGTTGGTTTGAATGAAGATTCAATGAAGATTCATTTAACCATTACTCGTTTCAGTATAATGCATGAAGTGGAAAATGAAGTGAACGGGTTGGCCAGTCCGTCTTCAGAAACACTGAGTAAGTTTATCTGTGTGTGTGTGTGTGTGTATGTGCGTATTCGTGGGACTCTGAAAAAAACAATCACCGTTTATTCATTTTCACATTCTCGCGTTGTGTTTGAGTTTATTTTGTAAGACTTTCTTCATCTGCTTCCAGAATGCACTTCTTCATGCACAAAATGAAGATAGGTATAACAGACTCCGATTGCTCTTTAGGTACAACAAATCCTTATTTTACCGACAGGGATACGCGCACGATCCAAAGCGAACCAAAACGAAGACAATCGACAGGATTCGGTTCAAATGCGTTCTGTATTATTGTACAAGTCGATCAAACGGCGGTACTAACAAAGCGTGCGTAAACCGTGAAAGCAACGCTGCATGGGTGGTGGTGGCGCAGTGGTTTAATCGTTGTCATCCAGGTTCAAGCCCTACCACCGCCACCCAACTTTGGTGGTAGGCAGCTTTGCTGTTACCCGGTTCTATACCACGCTTGAGCCAGCGGAACCTTATATGGCTTGCCACTCCAAACCCCGTGCCGGTTACCACCACTGAACAGCAGGTCATCGTGACTATGGGGCTCCCCTCATCTGCTGTTCATCACGCCTAGGTGTGTAAAAAAAATAAACGACGACTCATCATTATCGATAGAAATGTAAGAAACTCTGACACTGAAGGAATGGTGGGTGACAAACCGTAACTGATTCAAACGCTAATAAATGCGTCACAGATGAAAGACGTGAAGAGTGATCCACGGAGAACAATGCCAAATATATATATATATATATATATATATATATAATACCGGCTTGCGAACAAGCATGTTGTCAGCGCAACAACAAGAATAACAGGGGATGGAGGATTGGGATACAAAATAGAGTGAAATGGAGGTCAAACAATTACAGTGGATTAAGGTAACGAGATTGGTTTCACCGTAAACTCTTTGATATATTTGTGTGTCAGTTTATAGAATAATCGTTATCGGTGCTCGATCAGACATTGCATTATTGACCGCTCATGACCGTCTGTAAGCGATTGGTAACGATAGCATCCATGTCGGCGTAACAGGTGATGGAATATTTCGGGAGTATTTTGCTGGGTTCTATATCAACGTTAAAAGCACTGTTTGGCCCTTCCATCTTTGAAAATATGATCCCCACTGAGGGTTGAATATTCACAATTGAATTGACAAACTGGGCGAATACCTGAACGTCACGCTACTCAATTCGAGACGTAAAAGCTAAACAATCACCAACAGAGTACAACTTTCCTAAATTAATCTTCAATCCGAAATGGAATACGCATCCTATCTGTCTGTCTGTCTGTCTGTCTGTCTGTGTCTGTTTAGCTGTGAAACGAATACTCGAAGAGTTTGTGGCACAACATGGACGTTCTACCACCGAGAAAGCCTCATCCTCCGCTGATCGTTTGGCTGTCCAGAAGATTCTTCAACAAGCCAGGCGTAAGTAATATCATGTTATGGTTTCTAAATCAATCCTGTTCTTCAGATCGGGCCACTGGTCAGAAAAAGACTCGCTTAGGTTTGGCATTGGGCCATAGTCGCCGAGGTAGACCCCCTGGCTCGAAGAATCATTGGACGAATCAACCGTTATCTAACTGGCCGAGGTAACTCAATGTTTATTTGTATTTGTATTTGTAACTTTTGTAAGCATATATGCTTACATTTCAGTTAAAAATG